GAGGCTGGACCATCATACTTGTATTATATTCCACCATTTTCAGTTTTCTGTAGTTCTGGGTGAAGAGCATACCTGTTCTGGATGCATTGCAATGTTCACCACTTTGATACCACTTCTCATGGTACATATGTGTTCTCTGCAGATGTTTTCTGTATGATCTCTGTCCTCACTAGCTCCTCCGCCTTCTCAATGTGGGATTCTAGCTATTAGTGTCAGCGGAGGTATGTATGTTTTGGAAGTTATCATTTTCCTAAACTGAAAATGTATTTCCAAACATACTTACCTCCACTGACACTCTCCCTCCCTTCCTCCTCACTAAGAGCTAGTGTTAGTGACCAGAATGTGGTAAGTCTAGAAAAAGTGATTTTATTGTATGCATACAGTGCTTATATTCAGTACTGCATTGAGGGCTTGTGAGAACTGGCATAAAGTTTTGCAACTTAGATATTGTCAAGGGTATTCGAGTGGTGTATATAAAGACTGGAGCAAGCAAACACAACGTTATATGGCAAAGATGAAGATAGAGAAAAAGTTATTTGTGTCAGTGAAGGTATGTATGTTTGGAAATACATTTTCATTTTAGGAAAATAATAACATTTGTTGCTTGTTCTTTTAATGTTTGAAGATAACTTGAATGGGTAATGTAGAAAACTTAAATATAAGTTTAACATAACGGCAAATGATGACAAAACCTTGTCGAAATATTGTACATTTGCTGTTATATTAAACTTATATTAAAGTTTTTCTTCATTACCCATTCAAGTCGTCTCCAAGCATTATTAGTCTCAAAGTGGATTCCTCATCATCAAACTTGCTTGTTCTTTGTTCAATTGCTAAATATAGTGCTCCCTCTTTAAAATCTGGGTTCCAGGGGACACTACCATACCCTCATTATAAATAAACCATGTTGTAATAAAATTTCATTCTATAAGGAATATGCATGCACAGGATATAATAATACTAATACAGTAGTGAACTTTCTTGAAATACTGTAAAAACCACATATATACAATACAGTATTTAAATGCTATGAATTTTTTCTGGTATGAATATTTTAACTTTTGCCTGCTTTATTATTTTTTACTTGTGAGATCATTACCAGTTCCTAATTGGCAAAATCACATTTGTATTAAGTGTCAAACTGCTTCCTTGTTGCAGATAAATCGAATGATACTAGGAAGTGTAAAGTCCAGGGAAGAAATATGAGCTTAATACCGAGTTTCAATAATATATAATCCTTTCATTATCAGTGTTATGTGGGTCACTTAAGAGTGAAAATATGTCATATCTGCTTTCAAAATTTAGTTTAAAAGTGTAATTCTTACCTATTTTGATAATTTTGAAATAAGGAATAATATAAAAATATATTAAACATTATATGACAGTTATCTAGTTTATTTTAATTTAAAATTGTAAAGAATGACAACATTTGTATTTACAGTATCTGTAGACATCTAAATTGCATACTGTGTATTTTTTTTTTCTCTTGTTGTTGTGGCATGATGATTTATGTTCATGTCCACCATTGAAAAATGTTGAATCGAAAACAAATTGAAGTAGTTTTTCAAGCTTTTAGAAGCAGTATAAGCTGATCTGTGATCTTATTGGGTTGAACTCGCATGTCTTGACAAGTGGAAAAGTATCTATCTTTGAAAATATTTATGCTAAAAGCCATTGTAATTATATGATTTTACTTAAAGAGATATCTGATATTATCTTCAAAGTTTATATCAAGTTTCATGCATTTTGAATCTTTTTTTTGTTTTCCAGTTAACCTAGTTTGTCTAATCAATGTGCCTTGAGATTATACTATTTAATACGACTGTCATACTACTCAAATTACTTTACAAATATCTTATAAAGCAATTTCACACTGATAACTGAAAATTAATACATTAGCATATGAAGCCTCTTTTTGTTTCTTACAAAGCCCTTGGGTTACTCATTGCTTCACAACTCTGAAGAGCACATCCACACTATCATGCTTCTGTTTCTGCTTAACGTCCCAGTTGAGTAAAGAGCAATAAATTATTGACATAAAGCTGTTATATATGACTTTTACATCATTACACTTGGAGACAGATGTGTATTAGTCAGTGTGAAAGTGGTGTGAAAATTACATGGGATTTAAAATTTAAAAAGCCTCTTGGAATTTTCTCATTCCCTATAGATCTGTGTGTGTGGTAAATTGTACAATCCATACAATTTGAAGCACTTTTTTTTTGATGGATAAAACAAATTATAGATTGTATTTAGTTACATGGAATGTAAAGTTTTTATTAACTGGTGCTTAAACATTTTCATTGATATTAACAAAATTAGAAAATAAATTATTTTTTAAGATATTTATTTTCCCAGATGGGGGCCAAAAGTCACCTGGAGGGATCACCTGTTTTAACTACTCGCACCACTCTACAGTAGTATGTTGTCTGTCAGTCAGTAGACACTAAAATGACATTACATAAGGGACACTTAATGTTGCAATATCTATTGTTGTGATGCTAGTAAAATGTACACATGCCATGAATTACAAGAACAATTATGCACTCTGTAGGCTACAACACAGCATGATATATGAACTATAAAAGTAAGAAATAAAAATATTTGTTAGTCTTAATTTTGGTTTTATTTACTCTTGAAACAGAACACTTTCAGAAACTCTGTGGAAGTACATCTAGTTATGATGCTTACTGGGATATATGTGTACATTAGAAGATATTTACACATGTAAATTTATCTTTTCCAAAAAATAGTAAATTAGATAAATAAACTAAAGAATATAATAAAATTTTTCTCAGGTTGGCCTGTATATTGTTTATAAGTACATTAACATGGTTACTGAGTTTTATCTTTGGTAATCAACAAGATCATTCTTCATTATATTCCTTGCAGAAAACTTCATATTTTTTGAAGTAATATTTTAACTCGTGCAGTCTAATAATCAGTACACTATTTTTGTCTGTATTTGCAGGTCAAGAAAATAGTCAAGATAATTCAACTAAGGTGGTGAGTATCTTTGTACAAAAACTGCAGCTTTTTTAAAATTTATGAAAATAGATAAACCTTTTTTATTCATGTACTGCACGTAGTGAAGCTAAAGAATAAATTTTGTACAGATGTTAAAAGTTTCTGACAAACAAATTATTTTAAAAATAGAGCCTAGTAAGAACTTTGTATTGATATAAAGAATAATAAATCTAAACAACAACAGCAAAAAACTAATATTAAAATCAGTGTAGTAAATTGCTAAAGATTAATTTACTACTGCTCAGTCTGTTTTTCATACAAGTGCCTTTTTTCATAATTTTTTCTAGAGCTACTAAAAAGTGTTCTCATGCACTTTTAAAAATAATAGTGTGTGTGAACATTGTTTTATGTGAAATTTTTGTACAGCTCTAAAACTTATTTATAGGAACTGCATTCTGCTTTTCCTGAAACAGTAATTTTTGTTCAAATTCTTAACCTCAAATTTTATGCAAATTCTTGCATTAATATCTAAATTCATACCTTGACTGATTATTTAGTTTCTAAGATATGATTAATATTTTTTTAATCCTACATGTGGATTTTCTTATTCACTCTGTCTGTAAATCTGTACCGTATCTGATTTTGTTTTCTAACTCACAGTTTACAAGTAATGTGCTTCCTCTCTTAAGGACATTGGTCCAAGTACTTGGTGATGGTATTCTGCTACTTTTGGAGACTTACCTTGGTACCAAACCTAAGAATATAAGGTTGAACTTTTGCTCATTTTTGAGTTCACACCCACAAACTATCATTTTCTTGGTTCTCAACTTTTCAATTATCTTAAATTCTTCAGTATTTTATTTTTTAATTAGATCCTTTTTGTTGGGCGTTTCATATTAAGAGGTTGATGCTCTTTCAATCAAACAGGCTGCCATATTTATTTGTAGTCTCCAAGAAAAGGAAAATTGAAAGCCTCTGACAGCTGTTTTATTTAAAAAAATTTTTTGGATTAAAATCTTCCAGAGTCGGTGGATGTCATGGAAGCTAGTCTTGAATATTAATAATATCTCCTATAAAATCTATAACTAAAGCTAAATGCTGATTCAAAGATCTGGTTCTACTGTAAACATGGATACTACTTTAATTAGTCAGATTCTAAAATATAACTGGAAATGTACTAAGACAGTAACTAACAGCTGGGATCAAAACAGAGAAACTTTTTGAAATGAAGATGGTTTTGTTTTGTTTTTGAATTTCGCGCAAAGCTACAAGAGGGCTATCTGAGCTAGCCATCCCTAATTTAGCAGTGTAAGACTAGAGGGAAGGCAGCTAGTCATCACCACCCACCGCCAACTCTTGGGCTACTCTTTTACCAATGAATAGTGGGATTGACCGTCACATTATAATGCCCCCACAGCTGAAAGGACGAGCATGTTTGGTGTGACGGGGATAAAATGAAGATGGCCATGAACATGAAGGTATGTATAAAAGAATTAAGAGTAATTTTCAGATTCACTTTGGAATTATTTTCAATATTCCTCTAAGGCCACTCATGTTTCTTATTATTCTGGGAGATGTATCACAGTGATTAGAATTTTAATGTCTGTATTTCTCTCTCTCTCTGTTTTTTTTTTGGGGGGGGGGGCTTTTCTTTTATTAGATCTAATACAACTGTAGTGATACCAACAAAATAAACTTTTTTTTTCTTTTCATAATGTCCTCTGATTTTCATTTACGGTTTCAAATACCTGGCTTTCATTCAAACTATGACCAGGAAAAAAATGCATTCTTACTTTATGCAGCTTCATTATATAGACCCCATCAGTAATTTTATGGTGAAGAACTCTCTTTTTTTTTAAATTTCTGTAGAAACCAGTTTTGTTGTTAAAATTTAATTTCACCAACTGTTGTGAGGGGTAAAGTTTGAAGGTAATTTTGTCCCATGTAATTAAAAATTATAAAAATTTGAAAGCATTAAGCAGACTTCAAATATTGTAATGTTTGAGAAGCAATTAAATTTTAATGGCTTCATAGTATTATATAGCTGTCAATTTTTTTATTTTATTTTTAAGGTATAAGCATTGGTGATAAGCTTAGGTTGTTATGTAAAACAGTAAAACAACAGTATATACATTAGTTCCAGACTTTGTGTTTTATTTATATCCTGCAAAGAATGTTTTTTCTAGATGTAGATTTTATTCAGTGTATTACATAATTACTCCCAAGTGTATATTTAATACTTATAAAATTGTAAAAAAATATAAAATTCTAATTTGAAAAGTTCTAAATCTAGTTAAGGTTATGTGCTAAATTCAACAATAGGTGTTCCTTCCAGGTGCAAAGTCCACCCATCAAAGGTATCTTTTATTTCATGGGA